TGGTGTTGTAAGTTAGTAAAAAAAGTAGCCATTGACAATGTGTGCGTGTGTGTCCATCAATACAAATATTTTCATAATAACTATCGTGCGAGATAATAAATTGACTAAAACTCTTTACAGTTACTCACGTGAATATACTAAGAAAAGCTCTACTAGTTTCGTACCACACAGCCTACTGTAAGCTGCGCGACATCGCGGCGACCGCCCACGCTACTTATGAGAAAGAATCACTCTGTGGTTCGAAATTATTAGAGCCATTCACAGCATTTTCATATGACTTTTGTTTAAGGGGGGAAAATCATCGAATGACTGCTCCTGCCTGGGTGAGGCGGGAGGGAGTGTCAGTCTCTTACTGACTAAAAACCACCCCGTTCCTTCTCCTGCACGTCAAGCCGGTGCCCCGGTAACCCGTTAGGTTCTCCGCGACATTTTCACGTGACTCACCCGCAATTTTTGGTTAATTAATTTTTTTTTATACCACGACAATGGCAAAAAGTCACACTGCCCACCTGATGGTAAGCAGTTACCGTGACCTATGTACGCCTACAACACTTGGGGCATTACATGCATCTTGTCGACCCTTAAGAAACCTATTCAGTTCCCTCTTGAAGAACCGTAATACAAATATTCAACATCGATAAACACTGCCTAACTCTCTAACTTGAATATTTGCCAAAGAATTAGACAAATACTTGAACAAAAACAGATAATTATTCAGTATCCATTCCAAAACATGACCATTTCCAAATAATCCAATTAGAATTAGAAATTATAGTACACGACTGCCCTGTTGGCCAAGTAGTCGCAAGTGTGACTGGGTCTCAGGTTCGATTCCCAGACCAGGCCCAAAATATTACTGGGATTTTAAACTGTCAAACACCAAGCGGTCACCGGTGACCGCAACCTATTGTTCTTTAATTGTGTCTATAATGACGGTGCTCGACGAGTTAATAAAAACCTCAGAAGTAGCACGGAGTCTGATATTGAGCCCAGTATATGGCAATAGGCTCACCCCTATTACTTGGGACTCGTAACATAAATAGTGAAAAGTAGATGTTACATTGTACAGTTACATAATATGAACCTCTGCCTACCCCTTCGGGGACAAAAAGGTGTGATGTTGTTATGTTGTAGTAGTATGGAGTCTGGGACTTATCAACGTATTTCACTATTGAAAGTGGATGTTACATTGTATAGTAGCATTAAGTGCCGTAATGTGCACCTCTGCCTATCCCTTCGGGGATAAAAGGTGTGCTGTTATGTTATTGTTTGTAGTCACAGACTTTTTTTTTTTTTTTTTTATAATATTAAAGATTATTTCTCCACGGACTCTAGGTCCGTGCCCTTGTCATACAGTTTTTTAATTATAATACATCTAGTCAATATTTATAAAGTAAAGAGGGAACCTAGTTACATACTACAATTAACTACATCTATAATTATTAGCAAAAGTATAGGTTACATAATAATTAGGCACTATTTATTTATTTCTATTTCAAAGGCTTTATGAAACCAGCCCACCAACACGATGGGAGAGCCGACCTGACCCAGCAGAAGGCACCCGTTCACGAGTATGACGTGTGTGTCAGCAATTGGTCCAGTCAACCTTTTTATTGGGAACGGAACAACCCAACACACAGCGCCACCGACTGTAGGACATTTATGTGTGCATGACGCCTCAACCCTTGCCACATGGGCCGATTCCAATAAAGCGTACAATAGTCCAAAATTCAATTGGTAATATAATAGTCACAGACTTTTAAGGATGTAATTAAATATTCTATTTGTTTTTGAGTCCTAATACATGGGACTATTTAATATAACTGTTGCAATGTGGGTGTATGCACTTCTATGTAGCATTGTGTACACCTCTGTCTACTCCTCCAGTGATAAAAGACGATATACATATAATAAAACAATTTATGTACACACTATGACTTAAATTGTAGCAATATAGATATAACAAATAAACAGTGAATATTAAATAAAATTTCAGTATTTCACAAACAAAACTATTTAATTATTGATGGTTTGTAGTGTTGTTAGTGTTAAATAGATTTTTTTTGGAAGTAAATTAATAACTAAATAGTTATTCACCGTAATTCCAGTTAGACGACATATGTCTGTTACACGGCATCCACTCTGCCGTAGAGCAATGATGTGCTCGCGTTGTAAGGCTGCAAGCCGAGGCGCCATTTATTTTCGGCGGCCGAGCGTTTATAAATTATTACACAAAACAAGAAACAACAAAATATTACACCAAGTGAAATACTTTCTTTCTGCTTCACTGCGGGATGACATAAATTACACTGACAGACAGAATAAATAGCGTCTCTATAGTCTATGCAGACTGTACCGTACCATAGACAAAGAGTACACTTTTCTCTACAACAACATGAAGTAAATAGAGACAACATGAAAAACGGGGGGGAAAGACAAAATGTCATCCATAAGTATAACCTAACGGGTAACCGGGGCTCCGGCTCGACGTGCAGGAGAAGGAACGGGGTGGTTTTTAGTCAGTAAGAGTCTGACACTCCCTCCCGCTTCACCCAGGCGGGAGCAGTCATTCGATGATTTTCCCCCCTTAAAAAAAAACGCCAGATATAGGGCAGATTTTGCATTTATAACAACATTATAGGAACAACCAATTTGTTACGTCTTACTTTGTCATTCAGCGTTTGCCGTTTTGAATGAGTAATTGTATCAAAAACTTCAATTCCTTTTACAACACTTAATCGAGTAGTTTCATGTTTGTAATAAAACACCATAATTTTATAAATCGGAACTCGACTAGTTTCAAGCCATGCTTAGTGGATCATAAAAATAAGCAGTACCTATTCCGCGACACCTAACGCAGCCACTGTAGCACTGCTACGACTATAGTTGCAGTGTTAGGCCACAGGGTGTGTCAGATTTTTACTGGCTAAAAACCACCCCGTTCTACTCCTTCTCTTCAAGCCGGACCCCCGGCATCCCGTTAGGCCTTCCGCGGCTACGTATAGGGCATCAGTCCTATTGGGCCGCATCTGTGGTAGTTTAATGGCTTTTATGCCGCGCGCGGAACCCGACGCGCTGTACGCATGGGTCTGTGGTAAATGGCCCTGACTGCTATTCTGCTGGTCGGGGATCCAATTCCCAACCAGGACAAATGTTTAAATGAGCACGATGACTTATTCTGTGTCTAAGTGTAATCTTATACTGTTATGCTATTCTATAAAGCGCAAGAGTTTGTTTTTTGTTTGTTTGTTTGAACGCGCTAACTCCGTAACTACAAGCCTGATTTGAATAATTATTTTTGTGTTGAATAGCGCATTCATCGAGGATGGCTATAGGTTATAAAACATCACGCTACGACCAATAGGAGCTGAGCAGTGCGTGTGAAACCGCGCGGAAGTAGCTAGTTTATTTATAAAATCGAAAAATTTGCGGACTGGGTACTAGAAACTATATTAAGACCATGACTCCAACCTGAACAATGTTATTCATTATCCATCGATAAAATGTGCATGTTGTTGTAAAAAAGCTTAATATCCATTTTCAGGATTTATTATACCTCTACATAGGTACATATCATCAGCTATCTCTACCGATGACAAATCAGAAAACACAAACGAAAACGTTAGGAATTAAAAGAGAAAAAGTGTTGAATCAGAATCTGTATGAATTTGTGAGTAAATCCTTACTAATATATAAATTAGAAAGTGAGTTTGTTTGTTTGTTCCGCTTTCACGCAGTAACTACTAAACCGATTACTTTGAATTTTTGCAGACGTAAAGTTATAAGTCTGGATTAAATAATAGGGTACTTTTATCCCGGAAAAAATTGATATTCCCGAGGGAAAACAAAAGTATTGGTATAGATGGCGCTGTATGTATTGGTTATATGTGACATAGACTACTTTTAATCCTTTTGTGACGCGAGCGAAGCCGCGAGTAAAAGCTAGTTATATTATATGCAGGGCAACGTCTGCTGGGTCCGCTAGTTAGAATATAAATAACGAGGAGGGGATTCTACGCGTACCACGCGTGTTATAGTACGGTCATTTGTGTTATTTTCGCTTCAGCTGTTTCAAAAGCGTTTCTAAGGAACAGAGAGTATAACTCCTCAAGATCGGAATAGAAGGATCCTCCGACTAGGCGAGGTGATCGCTGGAGGGCTTTCTACCCAACAGTTGTTCGTTGGGATTTTCTATTCTTTCTAATTCGCATATAAACTTTCCTGATTTTGAACAAATGTCATTTAGCGCTTGTCTACTTGTAGAATAGAAAACTAAATTATATGAAATTGACGTAAATTTTGACACTTGTCACTGTCATCCCCATACATTTTGATTTCTACTCTCTCTGTAGACTAGCGCTAAAGTGGCGTTTGACTTCAGGCAGGTGTGATGTAGGATTTCGCGATGTCATTCGTTGATTTGTTTTCATCGATATTTGACGTGTGACATGACATGTGTCGCCACCTCGCCACCATAGAGCAACAGGACAGCAACATAGCAGGTCGCCGGCGGGCCGGAGGGGAGTAGCCATACACAGGCGTCCCCCTCTGTCAAAGTATAAGTCCAAATGGTCCTATCCGTGTAATCAAAACTAGTTGCAACTAAACTGCTCACTAGACTAAATCCAGTTGCGTGAGTGAATCGACGGCGTCGTAAAAATGCCGAATTGTTCTATTTTTTGCTGCAAAAAAAGATCTACCACGTCAAATTTACAAAAAGATGGCGTCATTGGTCGGACGAGCAGCCATCGATGACTACTCGTATTAACTGATCTCTCAAAATACAACTGAATCGATGCTGATGAGATTTGTTCCATACCATTGGAATTAACCTTGGAAAAGACTAATAAAAAAATCAAAATTTGCTAGAAGTCATTATTATACGCGGAAGAAGTCGCGGGGAACAGCTAGTATCAAATAAAGGATATAGATACATTAAACGATCAGTGATTCCAGCAATACACATCCTTAATTTTTTTTATCGAGTATGTCTTTTGTTTTGAGTTGTATTGGATAACAATTTAATTAAACACAACAAATTATGTAACATAACAACAGCAAGTACCAATGTGGCTATTTCGAGTTACCTATTGGCTATGTGCAAGCGAGTAGTGGCGGACAGATAACGACCGCAGCGCACAACACGGCAGAAATTGGAAACAAATGCGGATGATCAGCCAACTGTGAAATGTGTTGATTGCAGGCCAAGATCAAAGCAAAGAAATGGGCCATGACTGTTGTTGCGTTGTTAACTGCAAAAATAACGGCCTCAATAGCAAATGTAAATTTTATATTTTCCCAAGAGCGTCATACAAAATAGAACAACGAAAAAAATGGATTGCTGCTGTGAAAAGAAAGAAGTAAGTGTCATTCACGGCTCATGACATAACCTTAAATTACAATATTACTGGAACAGTTTGTATTTATAATACTATAAGTAAACATGCTTTATGTTATCATTTTAGTGTTGATGGTACACAATGGTCTCCGAAACCCCACGACAAAATTTGTAGTGAACATTTTATTGGAGGAAAAAAATCAGAGGAACAATTAAGTCCAAGCTACGTTCCTACGATATTCCCTACTATATATCGGAAAAAAAAAGTTATCCAATTTCAGGTATTATCTAGGTATACTCGTTTCATAGCCTCAAGAACCACACTAAACAGTACATTCCATATACACAAACATGATAAAAAACACTGTTAAATAAAAATAAACAAATGAATTATTACGTAGTTTTTAGCCTATCTAGAACTGTCAGTTATTGTTTCAAATTTCAAAATATTATGTACCTAATGCAAGATGAATTCAACTTAATGTTTGTCAAGTTTTGCCATAATAGTCCATAGAAAAAAATAAATTTAATAAAGGACGTTCCAAACCACGGAATATAAAATATAGTGGAAGTAGCAAGTAGGCGTGGCACGCGTGCCACAAGCCACAACTAAGCAGTGTACTGCTTAGAGACTCTTAATCGAGCGAGGCAAAGTCGAGTTCAGTCTCGTTCGAACATCGCGTCGAGTTGCTAGTCTCGTGACAAATACATATTTCCTCAACTATGCCGTTTTGTTCCGTTTTGGAGTGTAAAAATGATAGCAGCCGAAAAAATCGTAATAATGGAGGTGTTTCATATCATCGGTAAGTACAATTTTCATTGTTTATTTGTAGAAATCTTATTTTATTTCAATTTACAAAAACGGTTATTAAAATAATATTATTTACTAAAACAGTTAGTCAAAATCAACCTTACGCCTTCAAGATAAAGTTTATTTTGGATTTATTCCATTCAATAGAACATTCTCGCCAGTTCTACGCTACTCATATAGTGATGTGGTCAAATCACATATTGAATTTATCGATGGAAGTGTTATGTAACATTTATTCAGATTTTTTTTTTATTATTATTTTAGTTGGTCCGTAGACGCCGCTCCGTCGGTACGAAAGCGACTGGCGCGGGCGGGTAAGCAATACCTACAGTGCGTTTTTTAATCCTAGGCAACATATGACGGCAACAAATATCAAAGTACAAAAATTTTTTAGAAAAATTTTCAACTTTGTTGTAGGTTGACATTTCAACTTGTCAAATCGTTGCCTTTTTTTTAAGGGCGGAAAATCATCGAATGGCTGCTCCCGCCTAGGTGAGGCGGGAGGGAGTGTCATACTCTTACTGACTAAAACCACCCCGTTTCTTCTCCTGCACGTCGAGCCGGAGCCCCGGTTACCCGTTAGGTTCTCCGCGACTCCAAATCGGCATCGACCCTGTTGGGCCCCATCTGTGGTGGTCTGATGGCTCTTTGAGGCGCCCGCAGAACGCGACGCTCTGTACGCTCGGGTCGGTACCCATGCTCGCCGTCCGCAGGCCCGCGCTTACGGTGGCCGGAGATCGTCCCGCGATCCCCGACGCCCGGTGTGTCCGTCGCGATGGCTGGGTTGCGAGGAGGCAGCGCTTCGCTGCCTCACGCGTCCCGCCTCCTCCTTAGCTAGCATAACTGCTTCGCAAAAGGAGGAGACGGCATCCCAGTCCCTCTCGCTCCGCATCATGGCCCGCACTAGGCCCGGACGCGAGAGGTCGTGATGACACCAGGACGTTTCCTCCCGCCCCATCAGACACAGGTATCTTCCGAAACTTCCATGTCCGGTGAGGACCTGCGTCAGGCGGTAGGTCAAAGAGGGGACTTTCGCGAATCATTTGGATCGCCATGACCCTCTGTGACATGAGCAGCGCGCGGGCGGGCCGCTGCATCAGGTTCGGCGCCCACACAGGGGCGCCGTAGAGGGCCATGGACCGCACGACCCCGGCGTATAACCTCCGGCAGGAGGCGTTTGGCCCCCCGAGGTAAATCGTTGCCTAGGATTAAAATACGTACTGTTGACTGGTCGGCTCATAGCCGTGGACCGTGGTCAGATGGTTCGAGGATACTGCTCGGTTTTCTTATTGACTATTCTTATGTCTAACAGTGGACGATGACGAAGATCTCGGTTGAAATAATGATACATAACTATGATATAACAGTTCGATTTTATTTTTTTTTCCTTAATCATTTCAGTTTTCCTGATGATCCAATTTTTAAAGAAAAATGGATCAACGCTACTGGGAGATTAACCTGGTTTCCTACAAAAAATAGCACTATATGTTCGCAGCATTTCAAGGATGAAGATTTTACCATAAAAAAATCTGGTAATAGGTACTTAAAGGACAAAACGGTACCAACCAGAAATGTTTCAACTCGTATTCTTCTGGTAAGTGTATTATCAGCATTATAACTAAATGAAAATAGTTTTCAATATACGCAGAAAGTGGCATTTTATGAAATCTTGTTTTTTCCTTTATTTTTTTACCATTATTATTTGTTTAATCTCTGCATAGAACTTAGCTATTTATAATAAACTATATTATTATTTATAGTAAATTATCATAATTTATTGTTTTCGGCTTACTCACGTAATAATTTGACGAGAAACTCGACTAGTTTCAAGCCATGCTAGAGGCTCTTATTCTTTAGCAGCATTTCGCGACCCGCGACGCGGCGACTAGTAGCTGCGCGACAGTCGTTTTGAAAATATTTCCGATTTTAGTTTACAAGTAATTTCGTACATTGCAGGATATGTTGTGCGTGTCTTAATTAAAAGTATTCGATGTGAAATATGTGTAGCAGCTTAACAAACGAAAGTAACGATTTACATAAATTTATTATAGCTAAAAATAAAGGTGGTCTACTATTTCCGTCAGCAGATACAATCAAAATTTTTAAAACAGCTGAATCTGTAGTCCGAATCGTAGAAGGAACCGTTTTTAAAAAAGAAACATTACTTATTAAAATAATAAAAATGTTTATAGGAACGAATATATTCGAAAGTATTAATTACCATAAAATTTATGAGTTTCCAACATCAAATCATGTTACAGATTTAATTAAAGCAATCGCCGAAAAATATATGAATGTAAGAATACATCACATTTTAAAATGAAATAAAATATTCTAAACGGCAGGTACTTAGGAAATACGTTTTATTTCAAGAACAGTAATAAATTATTTGATTGGATTTTAATAACTATGTGGCGACACATGTCACATGTAAACGGATGACGTCATAAAAATCCTACATCGCACATGCATAGTTTACATGTCCCAACCAACGACTGTTGGGCAGAAAGCCCGCCAGACACGATCACCTCGCCTGGTCGGAGGATCCTCCTTTTCCAATCTTAGGAAACTATACACTCTGTTCCCTAAAGCGGTGATCCCGACGTGATTGGAAGCAACCTTCACTTCACGGAGCAGATCAGCACCGTCATCCTTATCGCCATCCCTCTCATTAATCACATTATCCATAGAAAGTTTGTAAAAATTTATTTAATAGTTGTTTCTAATATTTGGCCTATGTGAAATAAAAAAATTTGATTTTTTGAAAATAGAAACTAATAAAAAATACGAAAAAATGGTTTTTGATTTACATGCAAATAAATACTTACCCTTTTTTGTTACGTTTAAAAAGTTATCAACGACATATTAATTTTATTATTTTAATACTGTCACACTATCGCAGTCAATATTTTTTTTCACATTATTTTTAAAACACATTTTCATATTATCGATATTATTTTTATCGAATTAGGCTACATCACTATCTGAGTAGAGACCCGCATTCGAGCCAGTGATAAGCCATTCAAATATCACCTTTATTCTTACGACGTTAAAGTTCAAACCAAGTACCCCTTTTCGTCGCTAGATGGCATAGTTAAACGCCATCTAGCGACGAATGGCGGTACCTAGTAGTCCAAAATATACTTTTTTATTTTGATTTATAGTGCATTGGTTTTAAAGTTGCATATTATCATATGATATTTTTTTTGCATTTCGTTTACGCCCATTTTTTTTCTAGCCAATCGTATCTTCCGATTTAATGCATGAGTAAATTATAAATGTATTAGTTTGGCGACACCGGTTCTGGCAGAAATATTGTTTCAAGCTACTTCCACTGTATTCTAATATTCTATATATTCCGTGTTCCAAACCGGAATATCAAACCACGTGTATTAAACTACATTCTTAAAAAACGTGTGATATGATCGACAAATGCATTACACTAAGAACATTTTATTCATACGAAACTGTAATTATTGGCATTATTTGCATTTTATAAAATATAATTATATTATGTTTTAATTAGTTTTTATCCAATTTACCCAAAAAAAACTTCAAAACGGAACGGAACGTATTTGACAGCGTGTTTCTGTTTCGGGTTTCCTGTCAAATGCCAATAGAATGTTTTTGCTTGGCAGACGCTCTGTGATTGGCTTGCAGATTTCAAAATATCAACGTGTACGTGTTATTGTTATTGTTTTGCGTTGCGGTTGTTAAACGGATATTGTTTACGGACCTTCTACCACACGATTTGCCCTTGCTAATAATTCTGGACTGTTTTGCGTTTTGGATTTGTTTTGTGGATTACGATGAGGTGCATCAACTGCGGAATAGCCATACAAAGGCTGAAGAGGCATCTCATATCCTCGCTCTCTGCACACCATCAAACAAGACTTTTGCGTTGGTTAACTAATGCTCAAACCCAGGTATGAAGTAGAAATAGTATAATACTTAGTCTGGTTTTTTTATGTTTTATAATTGTATGCGATTTTAAATAGTGTATCTTTTTTCAGTTGCCTCTGGATACATTCATTTGCCAACCATGCTTCTTACTATTGAATACTGAGGCTGGTGAACATGAGAGACTACTGGGGCATAACATGGTTTGCCTTGGTTGTGGAAAATCGCTTAGAAAAATAAGACACCATAATGTCAGTATGGACTCTCCATTGCTGGCTGTCCTAATATCACAAAATAGTATTAATGTGGTAAGCATTTTGTTTTTAATTCATTGTTTTATATATCTACTTGTATTTGTCTATAAAAATCTATAAAAAAAACAGTACTCATAGTAGGTATGTTTCATTATAATATATGTATTTACCATGTAATCTTATGTATTTTCCATGTTTGACATATACTTCTTTAAACTGTCAAATACCAAGCGGTCACCGGTGACCGCAACCTATTGTTCTATAATGGGGTAGACAACTAATTTTTATTTTAATGTCCGTCTGGTAGATTATTTAAAAACATTAGACACGTATTTTTTATTTTCTTACGGAAACGAATAGTTTCGAAGATATATTGATTTGAAATGTCGCGTGACGTCACTTCTCAGTACATTTTATACTAAGAAATGACGTTTTAGCCCTCACTCCTAAACTTTGATTCGTTTTATCTAAGTATTGTTTTATTATACGACAAAATAAAAAAATACGTGTCTAATATTTTTTTATTACCTAAGTTACGGACTAATTATATTTTTAATTTTCATACCCTGTCATCATCCCCATTGTGTCTATGATGACGGTACTCGACGAGTTAAAGTAGGCATGTTGTAACATAATACTTCTCATTGTACAATAACTTAAAACTTGAAATCATGTGTTTACTCTAAATGGGGTTTATTTTCAGCCCTCAAGAAACAACTATATTTGTCATGTGTGCTGGATGCGGACAAATAGACAGGCAGGGCAGGACTTATCACCAAAATTGCAGGAATTCGGTCTGGACAACATACAGGAATCAGCTTCAGACAATGTGCAGGGATTGGCTTCCGATAACAATGCAGCAATCCCTAATGTTCAAGTGGTTAGTCCACCGGAGCCACCACCATTACCGCCTGTTTTTAATAGGCTTCTTCAAAAGGAAAGTACTTCCATATTATTACTCAATTATAAGCGAGCTTTAATCTCATCTGTTCACTGTATAATTCAACAATGCAGAAACAGAATGTTATATTTAGTCCCTCTGTTCCTCAAAAGAATATTATTGCAAGAGCATAGCTTCTATGTTCCTTGCAGCTGTAGGGTGTGTGAAACACATTTGTATAGCGATCACTGGCATTTATTACCACAAATGAATGGGATAAGGTAGAAGACATAATTAATATAATGAAGTCAAAAGCTAATTTTTTGGATTTCGAAAATGTCTCTGAAATGCCAAATCATTTTTGCCATTATTGGACTGGTCTTAGTTTTTAATTCTGTTTAATCTTCTACCAACTTTAAATGTTAAGCGACCTAAACATGCTTTAGCTATTTACTTAATGAAACTAAGAACAGTGGATAGTAATAGACGTTTGGCAAGTCTTTTTGAAAGAAGAAAAGTTAGATTATGTCTCAATGAGCATTTTGTCTCTGCATGTCGTGGTGGCCCAGAGGTTTAAGACATCCGCTTCTCATGCATGAGGGTGCGGGTTCGAAACCTACCAACGGCAAGTACCAATGTGACTTTTTCCGAGTTATATGTACTTTCTAAGATTATTCAGACACCACTGACAAACGGTGAAGGAAAACATCGTGAGGAAACCTGGGCTTATAATTTCAAATTATAAGTTTGTAATCGCCAACCCGCAATGAGAAAGCGTGGTGATTAATGCTCAAACCTTCTCCGTGTGAGAAGAGGCTTTGCTCAGCAGTGGGCATTTATAGGCTGTTGATGATGAGCATATTGTACCCAATAATATTGGTGTAAACCATATCAGTCAGGGAAATAGCAGACAGAAACTTAAGAGTTCCTCAATCATTGTTGGGTGAATCTGATGAGATTATAACTGGAGATAGGCCCGCAATCGCAATATTTGATGGGACATAATTATATATACTTGCAGAAAAGTGCAAACTATATGTTTCAAAAGAAGACATGTAATTTGCACAAATATGACAATTTGATTAAACCATTTATGATTGTATCTTGTGATGGTCATATCATAGATGCTGTAGGGCCATATGCTGCTACCCAAATTGATACTGAAATTATGACTCACTTGTTTGAAAATCAAAATGGACCGTTCCGAAGACTTTTTAGAGAAAGTGACATTTTTGTTTTAGATAGGGGATTTAGGGACGCCATTCTACCGGCCCATAGTGCTGCTCGACGAGGTGGGGAAAGTGTTCGAAAGAATAATTTCGAACCGCCTCGTCGCGCACCTCACGGACATTGGGCCGGACCTATCGGCCGGCCAGTTCGGCTTCCGCAGAGGGCGCTCCACGGTGGACGCCATCATGCGCGTTAGGGACCGGACGACGGGGACTGCAGTGTCCAGGAGTAAGGTCGTAGTGGCAGTGTCTCTGGACATCGCCAACGCCTTCAACTCCCTGCCCTGGAGCTGCATTTTGGAGGCACTCCGATATCATCGGGTGCCTACCTACCTCCGTCGTGTAATCGAGGCATACCTGACGGACAGGTCTGTCATATACCCCGGTCACCGGGGCGAGTGGAACCGGCGAGAGATGTCACGCGGTGTTCCACAGGGTTCGGTTCTGGGGCCGCTCCTGTGGAACATCGGTTATGACTGGGTGCTGCGCACCGACCTCCCGAACGGCGTTAGCACAATATGCTACGCCGACGATACGCTGGTGCTAGCGCACGGGAGGTCACACCAGGCGGCGGCCGACTTAATGGCGACAGCGGTTGCGACAGTCGTTGAGAGAATCCGGCAGTTGGGACTCGAGGTGGCGCTCCACAAGTCCGAGGCCATGTGTTTTCATGGCCGCGGGAACGCGCCACCTCCGGGTGGGTCCCAAATAACGGCGGGAGGAGTTACCATCGGCGTCGAGACGACGATGAAGTACCTAGGACTCGTCCTCGACAGTCGGTGGAACTTCATTGAACACTTCCGACGTTTGGCTCCAAAGTTGGGGCGTTCAAACGTATCCTCCCCAACCTCGGGGGGCCAAACGCCTCCTGCCGGAGGTTATACGCCGGGGTCGTGCGATCCATGGCCCTCTACGGCGCGGCGGCTCTATATTTGGGCGCCAAACCTGTGCCAGAGGGTCATGGCGATCCGAATGATCCGCGGATACCGCACGATTTCTGGGGAGTCGGCGAACCTCCTTGCCGGATTACCGCCGTGGGAGGCGGTTTAAACTGTCAAACACCAAGCGGTCACCGGTGACCGCAACCTATTGTTCTATAATTGTGTCTACAAAACCGGTGCTCGACGAGTTAAAAGAGATTTTAAACTGTTTTGGCAAAGGTATTTTAATAATGCCTCAACACATTTAATGGTCGATTTTAGAATTGCTGGGGTTCAATTAAATAAATTCCATCCTGTTCTATCGGATAGTTCTATTGTAAAAAAATATAATCCGAAGAGCACAGCGATATGATGAATTCGGAGTCGCGGAGAACCTAACGGGTAACCGGGGCTCCGGCTCGACGTGCAGGAGAAGGAACGGGGTGGTTTTTAGACAGTAAGAGTCTGACACTCCCTCCCGCCTCACCAAGGCGGGAGCAGTCAGTCGATGATTTTCCCCCCTTAAAAAAAAAAGCGATATGATGAGCCTAATCATCTTGGACAATTTATTAATGATTGCAATATAAACAGAAGACGAGTTATGTTTACACTATTGCTGGTAAGTTGCCTCAACTAAATCATTTCCCAGTTTTTACATACATAACATAACATCACGCCTTTTTATCCCCGAAGGGGTAGGCAGAGGTGCACATTATACGGCTTTAATGCCACTGTACAATGTAACACCCACTTTTCACTATTTATGTTACGAGTCCCATGTAATAGGGGGTGAGCCTATTGCCATATACCGGGCACATTTCCAGACTCCGTGCTACTACTGAGATTTTTAAAAACCCAGTAACACTTTTCCCGACCCGGGAATCGAACCCGAGACCCTTTGCCCGGTAGTCGCACTCGCGACCACTGCCAACGAGGCAGTTTTTACATATAATGATTTAATATTGTTTGCACTTGGCACATATCAAGTGAAACAACCGCGTTCGTACTTCGGTGAACATGTTAGGGAGAATCCTTACCATATATAATATTATAAATCGGAAACTGAGTTTGTTTGTTCCGCTTTCACGCCGTAACTACTAAACCGATTGCTTTGAATTTTTGCAAACGTAAAGTTAGAAGTCTGGATTAAATAATAGGGTACTTTTTATCCCGGAAATATGTGATATTCTCGAGGAAAAACGAAATCATTGGTATAGATGGCGCTGTGTGTATGTGTCACATAGGCTACTTTTTATCCATTTGTGACGCGAGCGAAGCCGCGGGTAAAAGCTAGTGGTATATGTGTTGTTGAAGTATGTCCAGAACTGGAACACTCTCAAGAAATGATTATAGGAGTTGGTGGATAATCCTTATTTATTAAGAGGACGTATTAAGTCTCGTCACGTTTCCCAGAGAGTTTATTTTTCTTATGTTTTATTTAACACAGAATATAATGGTGATTCTGTCTTAGATGCCATTTTAGGGTACCTACTACTGTAATTGCCTTGTAGGGAACAGGACCGTAGTTGTCACGTTATGACAATAATCTGGTACCTCGGTTGGGCTAGACACTAAAACAATATCCAAGCTCCAGCAGGATTTTTAGATAACATATTGTTAACAATTTAAGAATAATAGAAAAAAAACAAATCTTTGCTAATCTTTGTCTCGCAACCACAATAGGCGTGTCGACAGGGTAAAAAAATCAAAAAAGTAATTAGTCCGTCATTAAGATCGCACGAAAATATCAGACACGTATTTTTTGTTTTATCAAATTAACAGAAGAATACGTAGTTATTCCGCATTAAAGTTAGGGAGTGGGGGGTGTTGACGTCACACTTACGGAGAAATCGTACCTAATTGTGACGTCACGCGTCATTTTAACTCAAAATATCTACATGTTTTTTTGGATACGAGAAAAAAGAAAAAATACGTATCGAAGATTTTTAAAATATCTAAAAGACGGACAAAAAATTAAAAAATAGTCGCCATGCCTATTTGTTTTTGTTTTTTATTCTGTGTTGTTTTATTTTCTTTTCTGTGTGCGATCGAAATAAATGATTTACTTTCTTTCTTTCTATATATATTCTGTTTTCTCAAAGCTGGTGGATGCGAGTCGTTTGATACTAACTCATCACATCACTGTAATGTATGAGATAACTAGGTAGGCATCTAGGTCAGGCATATTAAAATGTATTATTTATTTTCAGCCATGATCGTCCCACGGCAGTTCAAAGGCCTCCCTACCCTCCTTCCACTCCTCTCTATGTAATGCTTTTTGCGGCCAATCCTCGTCATAGATGTCTAATTCGTCCCGCCATCTCCTTTTGGGCCTGCCGCGACATCTACTGACATTAAAATGAAAAATGTAACAAAATATATTTTTTTAACAAATAAATCATTATCATTTACCTATTCTTTTGTTTTATTTATAAATAAACTAGCGACCCGCCCCGGCTTCGCACGGGTGCAATATGTATATACATACAAACCTTCCTGAAGAATCACTCTATCTATTAAAAAAAACCGCATCAAAATCCGTTGCGAAGTTATAAAGATCTAAGCATACATACGGACATACAGCGAAAGCGACTTTGTTTTATACTATGTATTGATAAGTAATAAAAACGCCTTATGGTTTTTAATAGCAAATCCTATTCTGTGCACATATGACCAGTAATCTGACGAAGGCTTTAGTAAAACTATTTGCGTCTAGTGTGTTGTAGTGACAAGTTTCTTATGTGTTTTATTTATTGCAATTTCATCAACAGCCTATAAATGCCCACTGCTGAGCAAAGCCTCTTCTCACATGAAGAAGGTTAGAGCATTAATCACCACGCTTGCTCAATGCGGGTAGCGATTTCAAACTTATAATTAGAAATTATAATTAGAAATTATAAGTCCAGGTTTCCTTACGATGTTTTCCTTCACCGTTTGTCAGTGGTGTCTAAATAATCTTAGAAAAGACATATGACTTGGAAACAGTCTCATTGGTACTTGCCTTTGGTAGGTTTCGAATCCCTCGTGCATGAGAAGCGGGCGTCTGCAACCTCCGGGCTACCACGACATTGCTCCGGGCCACCACGACATTCCTCCGGGCCAACACGACATTGCATTTTAATGTAACAATATTCACGAATATAAAACACCAACAATCATTGGTGTACATTGAATTCAATAACTGCCCATTTTTTGCACATTGACTGCACGATTGGCGTGGTGGTTGGGCAACTGGCTGCCGCGCAACGTGTCGCGGGTTCGATTCCCGCACGGAACAATTCTATGTGTGATCCACAGATTGTTGTTCCGGGTCTGTGTGTCATGTGTATGTGAACTTGTATGTTTGTAAACCCACCCACGACACAGCAGAAAATTTAAAAAAGCAATGAATTTATTCAACCCTTACAGCTTGTGTCTCATAAAGGATGTCAAGCCAATATATTTTCTGAGTCGATATTAAAAGAAACCATATTTACATGCAATCGATACATCTATACCTAATGATCACAGTGATGCTGAAATCCAAGTAGAGTTTGCAACTATTTTTGTCACAGATGTGTGACGAATTACGTGGGCTCGTATTAAGTAGCTCTGGCCGTTATGTCGCAGTTCTTCCACATTTCTTACATGCTCTGCTAATACTAATTTATTGCCTTTTGTCTCAGTTTGCGGTTGGAAAATAATATTATGTGTAATAGTTTCAAACCCAGTTTTTATTATTATATTAATTTTACAGTAAAACTATTGAATAAATTGCACTTAAACAATGTCAACAATACTATTTCAATCTTTACAATACTGTTTTATTTATATTTACAAAGAAAATTAAAATGTTTCCATTGTTATTATTTGACAGCCCCCGCAAATGTTGTAAACATATTATTATGTTTTCGGCTTACCCACGTAGTAATTCGACGAGGAATTCGACTAGTTTTGACGTGACAACGTCTTAAATTAGGTTGCGGCTGGGAGTCACTTATGAAAAAGTGTAACGCTCGGTAACGTTACGATGAGTCACCGAACGAGAGAGAGGCCCGCCGAATGCCTTGCGTCTCTCTCCCACTCAACTATGATCGGTCTGCCGCGCGCGCAGCACTAGAGAATTAGGCGCATTGAATCGGCACATGCTTGTGTCTCTGTCTTTGTCTTTCTCGAACGTTCTTGGCGTTGGAAAAACAAGAAAGCGTCATAATACAAGTTCACACGTGTGGTTAAAGTATCGTCAGCTGTGTCTGTAGTGAAAATGTGGAGTGCTTAGATTCGTCATTTACAACAACTACAACAATAAAGGTAAATAATTGTACACTGATATTTCATTATCGTAAACGTAAACTATGATTGATTGATTAATTGTTAGATTGACACAAAAGTTGAGAAACTGAGTTTATAGGTTATGTCATACTATTGATAAATGTTGATAGTGTTAAGTAAATTATTAGTTTAAAATTAATTAATTAATTAATTATTATTTTACAAATTTTCATTAATTTCAAATTTATTTAGCAAAAATTTGATCCTTCGATCTGAATAAATGTTTTGATTTTCGAATTGATTCTTTAAAATTACAAATATTAAGAAAAAGTGGCAGATATAAGAAAACTTGATTTAAACTGTGTTGAGCAAGAATTTTAACATCTAATTTAAGTAAATGTTTTAATTTTCAACTTCATCATTTACAATTACAAATTTTAATTAATTTCAAATTTATTTAGCAAAAATTTGAACCTTCGATCTGAATAAGTGTTTTGATTTTCAAATTGATTCTTTAAAATTAAAAATTCATCCATTCAATTTCAAATGTTCAACAGGAATCACCACTCTCAAAACAATGGAAACGGACGAGCAAATGCCTTCAACTTCCAGTACATCAATGGAGACGGAGGATATCGTGCCGTCAACGTCTGCAGTACCTTTCGTTGTTCCACACACCACCTCTACCGCCAGAACCAATGCTCAGCGACAACGTGAGTACAGACTACGTCAAGCATTGACCAGAACTCCTGAACAAGTAAGAGCCTTTAAAAAAGCGGCTGCGGAGAGGCAACGCAAGTTCAAGCTACGTAAATCTGCTAACATAGCCCTCACCAGCGGTACGTCAGAGTCACCTGCTTCAACGTCTTGTTCTGTGGTGGAGAGAACAAGCGTTCCTGTCGTGGCGAAGAGAACGAGCGTTCCCCTAACTAACGCTCAACGGCAACGTGCATTCCGACAACGTAGAGCAGCATCTTCTCGGACTGATGTACAACCGAATACTTCTTCAACCCAAACAGCAATACAACTGGAACAATCCACCTGGTGTACCAAATGGTCATCGTCAATACGGAGATTTCAATCTACTTTCCTGGACAACGATTTTGGCCATGCTTGCTCGGTTTGTGACAGATTGTGGTTCAAGAATGACCTTAAAACCATCACTGCACTACAACTGAAGGTAATCTCGGATTGGTACGTTAAGGAAAATCGGCAGCTAGGTACGCAAGGAGGATTATACAAAGTCTTGCAACACCTGTAGACAATCACTGAATAAGCGTAAGCTTCCTACTCTCGCAAAGGTCAACGGCTTCTCATATCCTGACATACCTCCAGGTCTACCGCTAACAAAAACGTAAAGCCTGACAACTCGTTTCTTAATTTCATGAAAAATACGTATAATCTTGATTGCGTATCAAACGTTTCTAAGTCAACTACGTTAAAAGGAACAACTATCGACTTGACTTTGCAAGACACATTACAGCAGAAACACTTCCTTTCATTTCATATTTCTCCTATCATCGTCCTATCCTCAACAAAATCACTCAAATAGGAATTAGTTAAGTTTAAGTTTACATGTAGGTACAATGTTTTAGTAAACAAAATATATTTCTATAGTTAAAATTTGTGCAATTCTTATTTTCATTCAATTCCTTGTTCCTATTGTGCAATTTAATTATATTCATATCAATAAATATTCTACCGAGAAAAAGACGTTGTCACGTAAAATCTTCGCCCGTAAAAACGACTTTACAGGCAACCATTTTACATAATAATTTATTTAGCATGTCTCACGAAAGTTACAATACAAATGTTGTAAACGCTACGCGTCGCCATCGTCCTAAGATTATTTAGATGCCACTGACAAACGGTGAACGAAATCGTCGTGAGGAAACCAGGCGTTATAACTTATTTTATTATTTTTCTTTTAAAACGTGTTTTAACCCCACATTAGAAATGTTTCCCCACAATTAGGTAAAAATGTTTTAAAATCCAGAAGCAAAGAAATATTATAATTTTTACCGCCTTAAAAAGGGATTGTATAATATGGAGCTAATATTATTATTGATTATATTACAAGACACATTGAGGTTATAATTTTTTTTTTTCGTTTTAGGCAGTTCAAGATCATGGGGCGAGGAAGACGGGAAACATACTTTGCCCTAATTGCAACACTGAAATTCAAATTCCACAAAATAAGGAGGTATGGACCAAGGAGATAAATAAATTGTACATGGAAGAGTCACGCTTCGGCAAGTCTGTGTCGGCTCGACCGGAGTGATACCACGGCCTATCACATAACATCACGCCTTTTATCCCGAAGGGTGCACATTACGGCACTTAACTCGTTGAGTACCGTCATTATACATACCTCTAGACACAATTAAAGAACAATAGGTTGCGGTCACCGGTGACCGCTTGGTGTTTGACAGTTTAATGCCACTGTACCTCTACAATGTAACACCCACTTTTCACTATTTGTGTAATGAGTTCTATGTAATAGGGGGTGAGCCTATTGCTATATACCGGGTACAATTCCTGACTCCGTGCTGCTACTACTGTGAGATTTTTTAAACGACATCTGGTACACCGTTAAACAACGCTAGCGTAGTGCGATCTAGGTTGCCAAGTAAGGAGATCTAATCCTCTGCTGATGAAATTAGATGAGGGGTTGGCGGATGAGGACGGGTATTAAGATCCCCAATATTTAAATATCTATCTGATCCATCTGCATCATCCGTCGGTAACCGTAATACCAGAGGATTTTCAGTAGTTACTGAGTTATCAACCTGTTGTGGAAAGCGATTGGATCTCTGGTAACGTCACTCAGCGAAATATAATGGTTAGACCACGGGCGGGTTAAACACCGAGAGCGCCCTAGGCAGGCACGGCTACCTCATAAGCGCATCAATTTTTTTATATAAACTGTCGCCACTCGTATGAGCTGTTGAGGACGCTCGTCTTGCGGAGCTCTGTGACCTGTCACCTTAGGCACTTGCCTAAGTATTTCAGGGATAATACGGTTCTAGGTTTGATTGTTTCACGCCGGTTTCTGTGAGGCCGTGGTGTCACTCTGGTCGAACAAGTTCCATCACGTCAATCGAAGCATAATATGGCTCTCCTACGTTGAAATTAACGTTCTAGAACTTGCTGTTCAATTTGCAGGATAAAGTGAATGCGATGATAGTCAATGTGTACCAGTACTTTGCTAAAGAAGGTACGGGGTTGACGGGCGCCCAGCTCCGACAGCGCACGGCTCTGTGCACCGGCGCTAGCGAAGCCGACGTGGAGTGCGCATTAGTTTTAGAACATGAGAAGTCCACGGATGAAGGGAACCCCGCCATGTCCCAGAATCCGCCTCGCAAACGACGCAGGAAAGGAAGCGAATCACCACCTCCGGAACAGTAAGTGTTAAGGTCATCGCACTGCTAATAAGTACCTACGGCTCTGGCGCGGCGTTGGCGCGGTGGAAGCTTTTTGTCATCGTAAGTAGAGGTATAGCTACCTACGATGCGACGTTGTTTCGCTCGCCGTGAACTTTGCGTCCGCACGGCGCTTGGTCTACACCTCGAGTGGACCGCGCACTGACCTCCTGCCGTCGGTTTTTTGTATTGACGTTATGAATTATATCATACGACATAACGATTTAATTTTAATTAATTGCTGAGTTGCAGACGTGCTTATTAGATCGACTTACGTTGTAGGTACTTTATGGTTCAGTTCGATTGCAAACGATCACATCATAATTTTTCTTTTTTGCGAACCTCTAAGCCTAATGTAAGATATTGCAGCATTTAACGAAGTTCTGGTTTTCACCAACCAAACGCCGGCCGCTACAAACAAAACGTATACACTCTCTAGAGAGTTACTTACCGTCACCTGGTGTCGGCGACGGGTTGCGCCGCCATTGTGTAGGTACCGAGGAAAACTTAGTAATAACCACCCCGTTCCTACTCCTGTTTTTCGAGTCGCGGCTTTCGCGGCTCCGTATCGGGCAACAGCTCTGCTGGACCCTATCTGTAGTGGTCTGATGCCTCTTTGAGGCGCGCGTGGGACGCGATGTGCCGTACGCACGGGAAAATATATTCCTAACAATAATCCTTCAAGCCGATTTCGGCTACAGCGACCGTTTCTTGACTGCTGGCGACTATCATGGGCTCTCACGTGGCTGGAAAATCCACATTTGTTCATAAATCTTCTTCCATACACACACCAGAACACCATAAACATAGTTATAGTGAATGGGGATGATGACAGGGTATGAAAATTAAAAATATAATTAGTCCGTAACTTAGGTAATAAAAAAATATTAGACACGTATTTTTTTATTTTGTTGTATAATAAAACAATACTTAAATAAAACGAATCAAAGTTTAGGAGTGGGGGCTAAAACGTCATTTCTTAGTATAAAATGTACTGAGAAGTGACGTCACGCGACATTTCAAATCAATATATCTTCGAAACTATTCGCTTCCGTAAGAAAATAAAAAATACGTGTCTAATGTTTTTAAATAATCTACCAGACGGACATTAGAATAAAAATTAGTCGTCTACCCCATTGCCGCTGTCACGGTTAGGATCTAGCTTTTCAAGCCGACGAATCTCAAAGTCTGATAAACTCAAACTCAAACTCAAACTCAAAAGCATTTATTTCAATTAAACCATTGGTACTTTTGAAACGTCAACAAATATGAGATATATAATAGTCTGTCAGTCTGTCCGTCAGTGAAGCTAGGCGCTCGTTCCAAAATGTCGATTCGAGTGGAGAAGAACGAGCAAGAAACTCCATTCGTTACTCTTTTAAAAAAAGTCTGTTTTACATTGCTCTGATACATATTCCAATATTGTACACACATGTGAGAATAATGTAAAGACATACCTGACGCAACATACAAATAACAGAACATACTAAAATAGACAAAAACAACAAAACCAAGAGAAAACAAATATCTTAAGTCTGACATGGTCCTCACATATGTATACTGACAATAATTTTTGTCGCACCAGTGACCTCCACTCTCCACGGTTCGATGCAAGCTCTTCCCACCGAGATCGTAAAACATAGCCCTAACAGTACAAGTGAGGGGTTACTTTAAGTGCAATATCACGCTTACGTCTCTGACCGCCGGATTCAGGTCGTTTCCAACCGGACTATCTGGAAGTCATTGAGGCCTATGTTCAGCAGTAGATGTCTTGTGACTTAATATGATGATGACATGACAATGTACTTGTTTTTATAATAACTATCGTGAGACATATTAGTCTACTACTGTCTATAGTAAGCTGCGCCACATCGCCACGACTGCGCGCGCTGCACATGAGGAAGATCCCCTATGTGGTTCGGAACTAGTAGAGTTTTTCTCAGTATTTTCACGTAAGTAACCCGATTTTTTAGTTAATGTACTTGTTTGTTGCAGAGAGGAAGAGCCTTATGTGGAACAAGAGACACTGATTGTAAAGATCGAGCCGAATGCTGACGATGGAAGCAAGTGAGTGACTTCGGAACTTATATGCGTACTCCTTTCTACAATGGGATTGTTTGTTTGCATTGAATAGGCTTTTATTTTTTACCGGGTGAGATGAGAGGGAGTGACAGACTCTTTCTGACTAGAAACAACGCCATTAATACTTCTGCACTTGGAGCCGGAGCCCCGGCAACCCGTTAAGTCCTTCGCGGCTCCGTATCGCCATCAGCCATATTGGGCTCCATTCGTGGTGGTCTGAAGGCTCTTTGGCAAAACGCGATGCGCCGTACGTACTTGGGTCTAGTTCTGGTCGAGCAGCTAATCACCAGTGCTTGGGCTCAGGCTCCGCAGGCCCAGCATTAAATATGCTCTGAAGCTAATAGACTAATTTAATTTTGTGTCATCATTGGAAAACTTACTTTTCAAGGAGTACCATTTTTATTCTAATTTTGGTATACCTAAGATTCAAGACCTTTACTAAAGATATTTTCTTAACTCCGTGTTTACGTACACAAAGACAGTACACACGAGAATGCATATATATAAATAAATTGGAGGTACATAGGTACTACATATTCTCGTAGGAATCTCTTCCTGCAGTCCTTCGACAGGAGAAACAATAAAAACTAAGACACTGTGTGTAACATAGCATGAACAAAAAAAAAAAACATAATTTAAGCCTATATTTAATAAGAGAAAATAAGGAACCAACCGTGTAAAAGTTTCTATAATGTAACCCGATGTGTGAAAATCTACCAAAACAAAAATATCCTTACTAAATTGCTTATTAGAAAATTCAAATTCTATCAGAAGTCATTATTCTACGCTACGCAGAAGAAGTCGCGGGGATCAGCTATTAAAGGTATAAACAAGCTCGTTCGATACTGCGTATTAGCTTTGGTACCAGTAAACGCAGTCTGCAGCTGACGTCGCGTCGTGCTAAATCGATATCCAACTGAACTGTAACTGCACGCAGTCGTAAACTGAACTTCGCGCAATCGGCTACAGTCGTGCATTGTCGTTTTCGCTCGAGCAGTTAGCCAAGAGCTAAGATCGCGTCAGTCGTGTCGAAATTAAATACTTACATTTTGACCTCGATTCCACCAATCAAGCCTTATTTGATACCCATAATGGAGATTATTATGGTACAAATTAGATAATATTGTATGTTCATCAAGATTATGAGTGTGTACCTACTAAATATTAGCTCGATCTGTCATCAAACAAACAACATACGTTGGAAAGTATTTGTTTAAAATGGAAAATTTTGACATCGACATGTTTATTTCTTTAATAAAAAGTAGAACAAGTATTTGGAACTATAAAAGTCAGGAGTACAGTGATAAACTAAAGCGGAACAATGATTGGGCGTCCGTATGCGAATCCATGGTGCCGAATTTTCACGAAAAAAATAATAAAGAGAAGAATGCTATTGGTAAGTACCTACTTGAAACTTTAAACTATTAATGTAATTGAGTTAAGGGCTAGGAATTCTAATGAATGATTGTACTCTTGTAAATAATTATTCACTTTTATTACCGACTTCAAAAAAAGGAGGAGGTACTATGTTCGGCTGATTGATTGTTTTTTTTTGTTTGTTCGCGCATTACGCCGCCGCTTGTGAACCGATTTCCAAAATTCTTGTTTTGTTTGAAAGGGATACCTATTCCCGAGATGGTCCCATTTCCATAAGGTCAGGATCTGATGATGGGATGGGATCCTAGGTAAAACCGAAACTAAAAAGCAAAAAATAACTATTATTAGTAGGTACTGTTAGGTTACCAACCCACTGATAGATTAGAAGTCTGTGCAAAACGTTACTCTTTTTAAAAAAAAATCTTTTTACAGTTTCTCTGATACAAATATGTATTTTCTTCTTTCTTCCAAAATCAATGCTAACTATGTGCCTACCTAACCTAATAATTCTTTATGAACAAATTAACAATGGTTTCAAAAGGTAATATAATTTAAAACATATCGATTGGTGAAGTAGTGCAACTCTATATAATCGATTGCTGTGGGCACGGTTCACTGACCGTCCAATCAGTCGGTTCATTACGTGACGTGCCAGTCTATTCATCTCATTTTAGTTCCATATTTCGCCACAAGGCGCTGTATCTCGTCGAGCGGACAATATGGCAGTGGTAAATTAGTTCGTAACGCTCACATCGACACTACTGTCATTTACACAATGTACATGTGTGGGTAATTTCATATTACTGTGTATAAAAATATTCGTCCACCACGTTCACATTGGTATTTTCATTCTTGTGTCGGTATACGTATTTTTATAATTTAATGCATGGGTAAGGTTAAAACTATTTACAATCATTGATATGACCCGACATTTTCACTGTAATTATCGTAGTGCTCGTGGTCGATTGGTTAATGAGTACGCTTTTATCGTCTTTCAAGGATCAATGATGATGTGGGTTCTATTCCAGCTAAAAGTTTTTTTTTATTTTACCTTGTTGTTTTTCTTATTTATTTTTTTTTTGTTTTTTGTCATATAATATAAATATCAGGCTATAAAAGAAGCAAATCAGTCGGTAAATAAAACAATACTATTTTTTATTAAAATTAATTTATTAATTATACAAATATGTGGTTTTATATTCAATATTTATATCTAATAATTAATTATATACCACATGTTAACTTTAAAGTTCTTCCAATCATTCTAAATTATTCTAAATAATAAATAACTAGAACTAAAATATAAATAAAGGATATTATAGGTATAAATAAATCTAAAGTATTTACTATTAAAATTAACATAAGATTTAGAAAAATAGGATAGGAAAAAAAGAAAAGATTTAATTGTTTCTAATTTCACATTTCAAATATTTGATTAATTAATACTAAAACAACATGTGAATGCTGGAATCGATCCGGTGGCACTTTACTTGACCACTGGAGGCGATAACCATTGCGCCAAGCGCGCCGTAGATGAGAACATCGAAATATTGTATATCATTCAGTAACATAAAAATACAATGAGAATGCACTATATTTATATAAGTATTGTATTGCTCGATCGTTCATTATTTTTGATTTCGATTTATTCAAAGTTTGTTATGAGTATTTTTATCTTTACCCTCGTTTTTATTTAAACTTATTTACTAAAATATTACGTATACCGACACAAAAATGATATGTAATACCAAGATGTGTGTGATAGAACGAATGTTTCTATACATATCTATTAATATGAAATTACCCACACATGTTCACTGTGTAAATGATAGTAATGTCGATGTGTAGCGCCTCGAACTAATTAGCGGTGCTTTGTGTACATAC